ATGCACTTACTTTGGCACTAGAAATACTGCAGATACAGGGCATTGATTGTACTTCTGGAAGTGAAACTACTTGTTGAAATTGGAGGATGTATGCTGGCATTCTGATTGTATATGTAATTTTTTTTCAAGTAATTACAAGTGTTAATAATTCAATCACTCAGGCTAAACAGTCGACAAATGTTAATGAATTCAAGACTTGTACAGTTCATCCTCCATTTCACTTTTACACAGCTTTGATCAAAATTCTTTTTGAACTAATGGAAAGATGATTAGCATTTTAAAACTAAATAATGATAGCTTTTAATTTTGAAAGGTGAGATAGAATCTACCTCAAATTGGTGGTACATATTATGCCTGTAGTTATGAGTTTATGGTTGGATATTAGGGCCATAGGAACAGTATAAAATGCAACTCAAGCTTTTTGTAACAATAATTTTTTTCAAAAGCAGAATTAGTGAGCAAACCCAGGATAATTTGCAAACATACCCAGTGACTGCTTATGCATTCTTGTCAATGAAGAAGGATTTTATAGATGATGAAAGCTGTGTATGTTGGGCTGATATTAGAGAACTATTCTTTAATTATTCAAATAGTAAGTCTGAAGTGAGATAGATATGCTGAAAATAATATGTGACTGAAACTTTGAAGTAGGGAAAGAAATAATGCAGGTTTTAGCTGAGTTTTACCCAAATGCTAAATTCCTTTTTCTAGACTGTGCTTAACATGCAGGTTTCCTGTGTTCAGTTTACAGTCTGCAATTGCTGGTAGCAGCTTATGTGGCAAATGTAACCTGGCTCCATCTCCCTTGGGTCTCTCTTTGGGCACTGACAAGTGACTGAGCCACGCAGAAATTTGGGAGCTCAGCAGTTCTTCCAGTACATTTTTGACCAACTGCTGAACACTGTTATGTGCTGCGAGATTCTCTCTCTATCCCTGCTGATGCTACTGCCTCATCTGACAGATATTCAGGTTTCCAATCCCTATTGCTTTTCCAGACCCGTGGTGTTACTCAATTTTCGTTTATCTGTGTTTATCAAATTACTCAAACTCCTTGTACATTTACAAAGTTCACACTTTATTGATATCATGCTGTGCTGGTGGGTTATAGATGTATTTCCTGAATGTCTCTATGCATTTTACCTGTGAAAGCTTCCTTCTCTTGTGGGTAGGATGAACAGTGTCCCTTTCATCTGTTTTCCTGAACATTTCTAAAAGGGGGAAGGAAGGCATCCTCCTTCAGCTGGTGATGGGTCGTTCCCAAGTACAGTGATCCATAACGCCATTCATGGTACATTTCTCCACCAAAACTTCCTCTCCTAAATTTAGGCTTTTTTCCACAATAGCCATTTTCATTAGTGAAAAATTCCCTTCATTTCTACTTGAAAATATTCACTTATGCATGCAACTGTATTAAAGCTGTTCAAAATTTCAGAGGGATATTATTTTGAATTAAATATAAAACTAAATGTGATTAAACTTTCTAGCAGGTAAGAACTCTTATTCTAAATACATTCTCTCAAAGAGGAAAATTGTTTTTTGTAAACAAAGAACTTTAGTATTCATCTATCTCCTCTTAAATTGCACTATGTGCCTGCTATGATTTCATACTGATGTGCTTTTGCTGTAATGACAGAAGGGAATAAATTGCCTTAAGAAGCACTTTGAGGTAAACATTTGAAGAGCTTACATTTCAATTTTGAAAGTTTGTATTTTTCCCTGTGGTAATGCAAGAAGATGGCCTCTGCTGATGGCTCCTTAGGGAGCTATCAAACAAACAAATGAACAAAGAACATGGAAAAAGCCAATAGTTTGCATATAATCAAACTCAGAGATCCTCAGTTTATTACAGCACTGGAAAAGTGCATTCAGTTTGGCAGTGCTGGAAGGTTGATGACTAATGGAAGTGTAAATTACAGAAGGACCTGGAGGGGGCACAATTAGCTAAAAAATGAAAGTAGTGAATATCCAATGTTCTCATAGTTAAGGGAAATAAATATGTTTTTTCCCTCCTTGTTTTGAACCAAGCTAGTATTATTGAAGCCCTCACTCCAAGTAATACTTAAAACTATACTAAGATACTTCTTAGCACAATATAATACTCAGTTAAATCTATATATTTAGTTGTTTTATGAGAATTGCCATTTCTTTCTTTTTTTTTCCATATTAGAATAATAATATTTTGATACATTATCTTGCTGGAAAATCAGTTAAGGTGAGAATTTTGAAAATAAATGTGCAATTCTGTTTTAAAGTGATTCCTTGGCTAAAACCTGGTAAGAATTTCTGGCATTTGTTTATTCCGCCTCCCCTGCCAACATTTTTTTACACTGCTGGGCGACTGGTACCACAAGTGTGGACATTTCTCACATCTAATACTTCACCTTGCAATTCTGACATTCTTTCATCCAGTTAGGAATTTATTTAATTAATTACTTTCATCACCTTTCCAGTCTGGAGCTCCTGATGCTAGTTGCTCACCTTTTTTAATAAAAATATTTACAAGACTTAATGCAGTAGTCACCTCACATGCAAAAGCTGCATTGGGCTTTTTTATCTGTTAGGGACAGAGAAAGGCCTGGGCAGTCTAAGTTTAGCAGAACTGTTAAAGATATTGCTAATAATCATTTTAGTCAGAGCTTAATGTTTTGGGATTACATTTGAATGTACCTTTGAGGCAGTCTGTGTTCTATAAATCTAACTCTTTGACTTTAAATCTTACTATTTTACATCTCAAAAAATCCCCTCTATCCCTGTGTGCCTAAATTAGAGTATGTAATAAATAAAATTACTTTCCTTTGATTCCAAACCTTTCTGTCAGCAGAAATATGATGATGCAGAACCTGAATCCCAGCTGCCAGTGTAGATTACACCAGTCATCCCCAGGGAATGTTCAGTGTAGACCCTTTTTGATGATTTTATCCAGTAAAGGCAAGAAGCACTCCAGTAGAGTCCAGCAGCAACTGAAGAAAGCCACGAGGCCAGCAAAGGCAGAGGTAGGCAGCCCCACAGAAAATTCTCTGTGAATTAATGGTTCACATAGCCCTTGTGAACCCTTGTTTGGCTTGGGCTACCTTCACAGGTCAGACTCTTTTTACAACAGGCTCTATGCTGAGATTCTTTTAACCATTCTTTTCTCATTCAAACCACGTTACTTTTGTGACTTGAAAAAATTTACATTTTGTCCCACGGTTAGCTTTGTGTCAGGATTTTGTGCATAAATTGCATGTACATGCATTTAACTGATGAGGAGCCATAATTTGGAAGGACTTAATGCTAATAATAACTCAGTAATTATTACAGTAATAATATTAAAATTATCAATTTGTTGTTAACTGAATGGAAGAAAACAGAAATAGACTGAAACACAAGACTGAAAAGGAAATACAGATCAAACGACATAGCTTGCTCTCATTCTTGATCTTCTGTCAAAAGCTTTACACTTTTTAATGATGATAGATTACAATTAGGTCTCAGAATGATCACCATGCCTGAAATACAGGAATGACTCTATGAGTAGCTCTCTGCCAAGGGCTTGGTGACCTAGGTAATTGGGAAAAAGCTATAAAGATTTTCCACATCTTTATTTCTACCTTGAAAAAAGAATTTGAAGTAGTTTCTGCAAATTCTTACACTGCATTTCAAATCACCTGAATGGACTTCACCTTATTTTGTCTGAGATGCTCACAGTATTCAGAAAAATAATTAATGATCCTTCTATCTTACTCTTCATATCTGACCATGACCACTTTCTTGCCCAGATAACACTTTTGCCAGTTCACTTGTCTTAATTTAAATGATGAAAATCTATCACCAATATTCAGTGACATGACCCAGGACTTCTTAGACTCTTAAAAAAAAAGATTAATTGTGTACTTTTTTCATTGTAAATATCAGGGCTTTAGAAATACTTTTTAATTAAAGAAATAGCATAAAGTATGCTGAGAGAGAAAGAATGGATTTTTGGTTGGAAATGCTTATAAAAGAGTACAAAGTGAGAGACATTAAAGGATCTAAACACTTGACCAGATTGCAGGAAATGGGCAAAGAATGAAAATGAGACTTTCTTTGGGCATTAAAAAAAAAAAAACAACAAAAAAACCCCAAAAAACAAAACAGCAAGTTGAAGACTTTAGTCCTTTTGGAAATGGTCACCTGGAAAATGAACAGAGAAGTGATGACATTGGAAAAAGAGACTGAGGGGGAACTAGTTCACTATGCAAACTGGGGTTATAGCTGCCCCAACTCTGGAAGCTGCAATAACAACAACAACAGCTGGGTTGGGCATAGGCCATTTGCAAACCAAACTCTCTCGTGCTTTGCTTGACACTAATTTTCTTATTCATGTTTTTCTGCCATCAGCTGCAGCCTAACTCATAGTTACCTAGTACTAGTGTGGTGTGATTATTACTGATGACATATTATCATTGTAACCTTAAAAACTGGCACTAGAATAGAGCTCTAACAAAGATGGAGCTAAAATGGATGCTCTCTTCCCACCCCCACACCCCGCATAATTTCTTCACTTTCTAGAGAAGAACTTAAAAATTACTCCAAAGATAGTAGTCCTGTGCTGTACAAGAAGCTTCTTAGAGTAACGTATATTTAAATGTTTTTTTAAAAAGCTTTAAGCATGTCAACCTCATTTCTGTAACTTAAGAAAAAATACTTCATGGATTGATGTATCAGTTTAAGGGATAATTTACTCTCAAGATAGGGAATTCATAAATACTTTGAAGAATGTTGAAATACATGTTTCTAGGATCCCCAGCATCAGGATTTTCTTGCAGAGTGGAAAGACAAGTCAGGGGAGTTTCAAAAGCTGCTGTTCATTCACTGCCTGAGACCTGACAAATGTACAAAATGTAATGTACAAAACTTTCACCTTAGTGAGAAAGGTCTGTCTGCATCTTAAAAACCAAAAAATATTTGTAAGTATGCATGCACTTGTATTCTACAACAGTCTCTCATAAAGGAAAATAGAAATTAATAAGATTTTTAAAGAACTCCAGCAAGTTTGAAATTTTAATGAAAAATTTTTAAAAACAGAATAGTAGGACTTTAGCTTTTGTTGTTTCAGTTGCACACCAAAATTTCCAGTGCCCTTCCTTGAGACTGTCTTACACACCTTGTGCCTACCCTTATTCAGTGCACCTGCTATTTTTGCTGGATGTCATTGTCTGTGTCAATTTGATCTGATCTAGAAAGACAGCTTAGTGGTAAGCAGGAGAGTAGATAATGCAGGTGCTTAAGCAAGTGTTGCAGACACACAGATCCCTTTAGTTCCCTGGAAAGTGTTTTGAAGCAGAACTGTTGTGATTTGAGTCTAGGTATAAGGTTTTAACACAGATCACAGAAAGTACTCACAGTTGTGAATCTTTATTCAAAACAAAAAGTCAGCTTGCTAAAAATCAGAATAGAAGTATTTGCTTAGACATTTTCCATACACTGTCAGGGTAGTGGAACTACTCTTAGCTCCCATCCCAGCCATACCAAGAAAGCACACTGTGAGAGACAGGCCATACCTGTCTGTACTCACTCCTCCCATCCAGGAGCAGTTCTCTACATGCACTTCCTCACACACCTGTTCAGCTTTGGATTCGCACTCAAAGAGAGGAAATTAAGAGTCACTTTTAGAGCCAGAGTCACAGCTCACTTGTCTGGGCTCCTTTTGGCCGGCAGCTGGCTGCTGGGCTGAAGGCTCATCCCCGAGAGGCAGCGGTGCTGGGAGCGAGGGTCTGGAGCCAAAGTAATTCACCAGCCTCTGCCTCGTCGCTGCGACCTCTTCTTGAAAAGAGTTTATGGTGCGGCTGCCAACTTTGCACTTGAATCAAAGCAAGAGATTGAGCCTTTCAGCGGAGCAGCTTAACTGTGTCATTCAGCCACATTCCAACCCTCTCTCCTCAGGCTGCATTCGGGTATCAGTGTTTCATGATAGCAGTCATACCCTGGTCAGCCCAGTGCACAGCCCTCCCAGCTATTGGTGACAGTATCCTTGGGGCTAAGTGCCCTCACCTGGGGCTGCTGCTTCTCATTTTTTATATGCTTTACTTAGAAATACCGTCATATTATGACCCTCTTATATCTTGAAACATTGCTCTAAATCATTCACAGTTTAAGATAGGTAACACCACTCTTAGTCCACTTTAAGATATCACTGTGCCACATGATCCTATTTTTTGTACTTTAATCTGTTGCACAGCGACCTTAAATGCTTAACCTTGAGAGTCACCAGGTATATATTTAATACAAAACATTATTAGCAAGGCAGAATCTTATCTGTGTAAACCCACCAACAAGTAATAAGCAGAACTTTTTACTGTTCCTCATCAGGGAGCTTGGTTCACTTGATTCTTACTGTCCGTAGGATTAGGGCTCACAGATCAGCTGATCTTGATCAACTGAGCTGCTCAGTTGTGTGCTTTCTTACATGTCAACACTATGGCATCAAACTCCCCAGAAGTGAGGAGGAGTAAAATATTTGAAATGAGCTTTAAAGTTTAATTAGGCAGATTTATATGTAAAACTGGACAAGTGAAGCAATGATCTGGTCAGATTTTGTCTTTTCACATATGTTGTTCATCCCTCCTGTGAATGATAGAGCTGCTCATTGTTGAGTTTTGTGCATTGATTATTGCACCCTATATATTTTTTCTCTGCTGTAATGAGTTGGAAAAACACTTCTAAAGGAAACAGATTTGCATTCAAAAACCAGACAATAAATTACACTGAGAAGTGCTTAGGTGCAAATTTCTTAGCCAATAATACACATAAATCATTACTTCAGAATAAGTCATGTTTGAGCTTTAGACAATCATTCCTGGCTGATGCTTGGAAATCTTAGCAAGAGAAGTTGTTTATATTCTAGCTTTGAATTTCAGATGACAGTGGCTAACACTTACAATGAAGGTCCTCAGCCGTGTCATCTCCAGCATGTAGTACTCCTCCATTGTCAGCTCATCAAAGTGCTTGGGAAGTGATAAAAAGTCACAGGTGTGACGTTTTCTGTGTTCCTCCCTGCAATATCAACCCAGAATAAGAACAGATGTTAAACCCACAGAAGTTTCATTTCAGGAGAGGAAGAGATCTGTACAGACAGGTCTCTTCAGTACTTGTGCTGTCTGTCAGCAGAAATAATATCATACAGAAAAGATGAAATAGATTTTAGTGGATCTCAGATAAAAGCTAGTTGAACAATTTCACCGTTACTGGGCAAGATAAGCTTCCAGTTTTGTGCACTGTCATAGTGGAAATCGACAGGGACATTAACTCATTGTAAAATGAGTTAATTTTACTACATTACTACAAAGATTACTACAGAAATTTGGAGAGATACTTCTCAAGAGCATTGGTACATCTTTGCTTACCATGGGTCATCATTTGGTTCCCAGCCCACCAGTTCCAACAAGCAAAAGAAACATTTTGCCACATCTGGTTCATTTGCAGTTGGACAGTGGATGAAGCCAGCCTTTGCCATCTGCAGGGGACAGTTTACAAGTTTAGAGCATTATCCCACACACACTACTCATATTTACTCATATTTCCTGGCACTTTAGAATCATATCTAGTCAGGACACCAAAATTTAAGTTTGTTTCAGTAACCAAACACCTCAGGCAACTCTAGCAGTATGACTCATCTGAGATTCAGGCTGGCAGTGTCATGTGTGTGCCAAAGGAGAAGTCAGGTGGATTTTTTATTTAAATAATTCCCATTTCTGAATTTGAAGTAGCGATCATTCCACTATATCCTTCCTGCTGGATCTGTACTTGTTTAATGTAGGCTGCTTTCTCATGAATAGAAATTTGCAATTAGAAAGACTTATGTAACACAATAAATTAATTTTTAAATGACAGGAACAGGAAAAAAATAAAAAGGGAACAAGAACAGTAAATATTAAAATCTGTAGGCAGACTGTGGACTGAACACAGAAAAACCAGAAAATTCCACTACAGTATTTCTGAGCAGGGAACAGAGGAAAGCTGAGTATTTAACTCATCTTCAGGCTTAGTGGACTCCTCTTGAACCTGAATACACTTAATAATGACTTCACATTCAGGCACAGCATATATAAATTAAGGCAACGGCAAACCAACCATTTTCAGACTTACATTCTCTGGAGTGCACTTGCAGTTTTCCTGGAAGGGCCACTTGGTGAAGGTTTTTAAACGGGTCTCATATTCATACATCTCCTTAAAGTCAGTTAAGAGCTTGGAAGCTGAGCTGAGCTCTTGCAGCAGAGTCTCCATCTAGGAAGCCTGCAGTCAGTGAAAGGCAGAGCCTCCCCTCCTGCTCCCACTTTTAAGGCCTTTGCTAATTGGTGACACCTGGAGGGCAGGGGAAGGCCTCACAGAGCCTTAGTCCCTTCCTACACAGGTGAGTTTATGGGCAGGACAACCAAGGGAAATGAAGCTGCTGGAATTTCTTCCCTTTGTGTCACAGTCTGTGTCCTTGGTCACATTATATATTTTTTAACTGAAAGCACCTATGGTAATTGCAGATTTTACAATTGAAATGTCAAAAACTGCAGGTTTAAAACTCTTGCAGTTACAGAAACTTGGCATATAAAGTTTTTTAAAAAATACTATCCTGCTTGCAAGCAAAGGGGTTGAATTGACATTGCTGTTTGAATCCTTCAGTGTTTCTTGAATTTCATGTTCAGAGATTAATTCTTAGGATTGTCTTTGCAAATAGTGTTGCATTTATTTACTGTAAAGAGGAGGTGGTTGTTTTATAATAAGTACTCATTTCTGTTTTAAAGTATTATACAGCATAGCCAGATGCTGAATGATAATATTTTAAAGGTGTATATCTGTAAGGGTTTACAGTATCAAAGCATTAAGCTGTCATTTTATAAACTGTCTCTTGTTTTGGTACAGAGTCCAGTTAAATTCAGTAGACGTTTAAACATCAGTGTCTTCAAGACTGCTGCATGTAGTAGCTTTCTAAGCCAAGATCTTACCACCTCTGAAGGATGTTGCACTGTGACACTTGAAAATTCAAATCTTCTCCGAAATACAGATGGAGTAAGTACAGAAAATAATCCAGCCCATTATTCTGTCTAGATGTGGTGACAGAAATGAGATTAAAGAACATTTGTATAGGACTTCCAATGTCAGCTCTTGGGGCATTGCTTTTGCCTAGGTTTACAAATGCTACCTCACTGATTCCTCTGGGACTGTACTGATGTCTATTGTATTTGCAGGAATACTGTCCTTGAAATTTATATCAGATATTTAGAGTAACGTGTTACATGAAAATATGATACTTTAATTATTTTTTTTCTTTTTCCAGATAATACCAATGGTGGAGGAATTTATCATTCATAACCTGGGCCCTCCAAGCATTGATATTAATAGTTTCTCCTGGTGATGACTCCAGGGCAGCTGATGATCAGGTATTTTAATCTCTTTTTTACTGTAGTTGCTGTTTGTGTGTGTATGTGTGTGCACATGTGAATGTATTTGTATGAAGCAAGGAACTTTGTTTAACTAAAAATTAGAATGCCAACCCAAACCCAAAACCTGTTTTTAACTGCCCAAAAACAGTAAAATTGATCTCATGCTTCTCTTTAAAATAAGGTACTAATTCATGTATATTGATTGCTTTCAGGAATGAATAATTTGTGTGTTGTTTAAAAGAAACTGTAGGTTAAATATTTTGGCATATTTTATCATCTTGGGATGTCATGAGCTATTTAACTAATTAATGTGTGTCATTTCAAATGGAAAATGCAAAAATGGAACAAAACCACAATAGTTTAAATGTTTCTTGTAAGCAGTCTTATCTGAAAATGCTATTTTTTTCAAAAATGCTTTATGTGTAATGTATAATTTAATCAAAAACACCACAGTAATATGGGACCTTGGAGTCCTGGGTGATATTTATGCATCAGAATTGAAATATGGGATGGTTTTTTTTGCTTTGATTGTTTTTATGGCATTTAAAACAAACAAAAAATTCCCAACAGCCCAAATTCGTTCTTATGTAGAAAAGTACTGCTAGAATACTAGAAGGTAGGATTATACATGTAATAACACATCCTAAGATGTATTTCTTGCATTTCCTGCCTATAATTCTGTCAGAATTCTGTGCTGTTGAGAATGACAGGTACATTTCAAGTCTGCCTGTAAAGGCATCCTTTTTTTTTTGGGATATAAAATTTTATAGTAGGCTGTCTACATCCTTCAAGAGAATACTGTTTGCAGAAGTGATCTGAAACTGTCAGAATTTCATAGGTCTGGATTAAATGGATGGGTAGATGGAGCTTTTCACTGGAAGACACACAAGATGTGGCATGACATGAAAGAAAATATTTAAATCATATTTTAAATGATACAGTACATTAAATATCTGATATCCAGTATCTGATCCTGACTTTTACACTCATTACTGTGAGTAATGTTGCAACTTTGTAAATCAGTTAAAGTATCTGTGATCTGGGGGAAGACAGGCTCAGAAATGAAATAGCTGTATTCCACTGCAAGGAAAGTAGTTTCAATTACTGCCAATAGTGGAGTACATTTATTTTTTATTTTCTTGCTTGTTTCATACTTCATCAATTGAAACTTATTGCTATGGCATTAATAATATAGTTCTCTAGGTGTTTTTTTTTTTGGTTTTTTTTTACAAAGGTAAGACTGGGAAAACCTATCCACTGTTTTAATAATTGGATGTGTTTGCAATCACATTTTACATTATTTTGCATTATTTTTCTATAATTAATGTAGATTATCTAAATGAGATTGTGTATTTAGCTAGATGGTCTCAATTGGAAACCAAATCAAACATTTCTACCTGCGTAAAGGCCACAAATCAAACTTGGTAAGGATTAAAAAACCCCTAAAATATTATATGAACAATATTTTATAACACGGCGGTGTTAAAAATGTATAGGTGTATGGTCTCATACATACAGTTGTACGTAATGTATATGAATTAAATCTACACGAATTAATAGCTTTAAAAAATAAAATTGCTTTGAGGTTTTAAGAGACTTGGTAAATGATGCTCATGACCATTTAAAGAGCTCCTGCTGAAGGCCTTTGTTTGTGAAGAAGAGGTTTCCCCTGACTCACAAAGTGTGTGAGCAGGAAGAAGCTGGGCTCTGAGCAGCTCAGCTCTGCTGTGTGGGACAGCAGAAAAAAATGAACTGTTCCTGCAAGCTGTAAAGTATCCTACTGCCACCCTCGATGGCTGGCTGTGATTTATTCAGTGCCAGGACAAGAGCAGCCCCTGGCAGAGTGAAAGCAGCCGGGATGCAGAGAGGAGCTCTGGCAGAGGGCGTTTCCTTCCCTGTGTGCAGAGGTAGGTGGGCGTTTGCCAGAGCAACCTCTCGGGAATTGGCCAGCAATACATGGCACTTCTTCATGCTCCAGCTTCCCGGGCAGCCCAGCATGGCCAAAGTCTGTTCAAGGTATGGATGGGCAGGAACAGGGGTGTTCCTTTCACTGTCAGTCTGCAGTGATTTTGGTTATTAGTGTGATAAATTCCGGCAATAATGTGATTAACAGGAAAGTGGCTCAAGCAACTTCACAGAGGTGTTTCTTTCCTGAAGGAGAATGGGGCGTGGGGGGTTGTGAGGGGGATGTCCTCCTATTACATGACCAAAGGTTCTGAACAAATTACAAATATAGTTCCTAGCAGGGAGGGAACCATTTCTTTGCCCTGAAAGATAAAGATTTGTATGTAGTAAACATTTATTGATACTTTTTTTGACTGGTTTGCTTTATCCCAGTTCTCAGTGTATCACCACTCTTGCCTTCCTGCAAGTAATTTTCTTTTATCACTCAGAAGTTGTTTTTTCTTTTTTATGCACCTAAGAGGAGTCCAGCTTCTCCCAACCTCAAGAATTTAAGCATGTTTGATTTTCTAAAAAATAAATAAAATTATGAGCACAGCTATGGCCTTGTGATAGCATACATTTATTTTAGAAAGATGTTGAACAAGTAGAGATATTTTTAGAAAAGTTTTCCATAAGTTTGTATCCAGGGAGTTTCAGCTGCATTACTATGGAATTTTTTGGTGCTGTTGTTCTTCAAAAGCAGCAATGGCTGGGTGACTTGAGGGATGATTATTAAAAAGTATTTGAAGGGCTGGAGATGAAATGGTTCAAGCATGAACTAGCAGAAGTAATTAACAGATTTTAAACTTTCCAGTGAGAATTCTGGCTGCCGTCCAGGTGGATTACAGTGACACTGATAGGGCTGCCCAGGGAAGTGCTGGGCTGCTGCTCTGATCACTGTCCTGTTTTCCTGCAGGAGCTGCCAGCTGATGCTCCTCACTGTGACTGGGGAATGCAACTATGGTGCCAGAGGCACTGACACTGGGGTTGGCTCTGTAAGTGTTCTGAAGATGTTATTTTCCTCGGAAATCATGACAAATGTCAATTAGGTACTTGAGCCAAGTGGTGTTTATTTTGCCTCTCCTGAAGGAGATGTATGTTAGAACAACAGAATTACCAACAGCCTTTTTTTTTTTTTATAGATGCATCTTTACTGAAACTGATGTGTCTCAGTGTTTACTCAATCACTGCTTTGGTGGCAGTGACCTTCTCCCAGGCCTTGTTTCAGTGACTTCTAAGAAAGGGACATTATGTAAACACAAGTCATCTAAATTGACTCTGTGTGAGTCAGCACTCAGGGGACAGTAAGTGAGAAACACAGCCCAGTGAAGTTAAAGCATTTTAAAATAGGCATAAGAGAAATAGTTCATTATATTTCCTGGGTGCAGAAAGGCCACAATAATCAGCTTAATTTATCACACAGGAGTTGTGTCAGTCATCAGCAAAACACCTGCAGGCACTTGGCAGGCAGTGGGCTTGGAGAGGGGCTGCAGCCCCTTACACTTGGTATCTCATTTTAACTGAATTTTCATCAGCTCCCAGAATTTTTCAGGAATTATATCTTTGTATCTTTTATATCTTAGCACACTTTATTAATCACTCTAGGAAAGCCTGTAGTGGTTTTGAAGTACAGCTTGTGGCCTCTTGTGGGCTGGTTGGCTGCTTCTGCGTATTTTTTTTGCTCTAGAGGTATCTTTCCCCACCTCTTCTCGGTACTGAAGCTGTACTGAATCTACAAAGACACTTGCACAGAATCCTTTCCCAGAGATCTTTGGAATGACTGCAAATTCTGCTATTATCAAGGCTCAGTCAGGAACACAGCTGCTGTTTGATGGAATTCTTACACAGGCATGATGCAAAGCCACACACCACCTTACCCTAATTTTCTACTGTATATCCACGTTAGTATGTTCACCTTCCCTCCTGAGTTTTCACTGTATCTCCAT